TCCTGCAGCCTGTGGGAATGCTGCTGGAATCCCACCTTTCTAACCAGCCCACCCCAATAGGAAACCCACCCCACAGAGCTCTGATCCATGGGGAATCCTGCTGAATTTACCCACTTAGGACCCAGTCACGCTCTTAGAGGCCTACGTTGGGGGTACAGACACTTACCCAGGCGGGATGATGGGGTGCCAGGAGTTGGGATAAGCTCTGTCCCCTGGAGCTGTGACCTTCAGCCTCACCCCATGGTGTTCCCACCYGTGTGTGCTTCTCAGGGCATGGCAGGAGAGCGTGTCCCTGAAGGAATTGCAGCGGAGAGGGGTCTGCTTGCTCAAGCTCCAGGTGGCCAGCCAGAGAACCGGCCTCTACGGGCGTCTCCTCGTGACATTCCAGCCCAGGAAATGGGATGCGGACGCTGAGCTGCCCTCCAACAGCTTTGGGCCTGGTCAGTGACATTCCTGTCTTTCCAAAGAAAGAGATCATACACTCACGGAATGGTTTGGGTTGGAAKGGACCTTAAAGCCCATCCAGTCCATCCCSCTGCCATGGGCAGGRTCACCTTCCATTATCCCAGGTTGCTCTGAGCCCCATCYAGCCTGTCCTTGGACACTTCCAGGAACGGAGCAGCCACAGCTTCTCCAGACAGCGACACATTTGCCMCACCTCATGCTGTCCCTTCAAACCTTTGCAGGGGACATCGTGGGGCTCTACGAGTCAGCGGGGCAGGGGGAGCCGCTGTGCACGGGCGTGGTGACACGTGTCACCCCCAAAGCAGTGACGGTGGCCCTGGAGGAGCCCCGGGATGGGGAGCTGGCTGTGGACCACGAGCGTTCCTTCCGCCTGCTCAAGCTGGCCAACGAYGTCACCTACAACAGGCTCAAAAGGTGAGAACTCACCCAGCTCACTCTGCCCAGCAGGGTCAGGAGTGCCAAGTTCAGTCTGGAAAAGTTCTTTCCAAACATTTCCCAGTTTGGATTTGTCATTCTACAGCCTCACAACAGTCTCAGTTTACCCACCTGCTGGCTGGTCCTGCTTTTCCCTTTTCCTCTCCTGGCTGTATTTTGGTCCTGTTACGTTGCCTCTGGAGCTCTCTGGGTTCTGTGCAGGGCCTTTTCCATCCTGGCAGGAGGAGTGAGCAGCTGCTTGCTGGATAAACATCCTGAAAAAGCACACTTGGTYGTAGCAAGCAGGAGCAATGGGAAGTGGCACTGTGATGTGTGTGCAAGGGTTGGGGGATGCACTAACTAGGTGGGATTAATCTTGTGGGGTAGCATCATTCAGCCTTGGAACAGCTGAGTCTCTACTCACAGCCCAACTCTGGGCCCTTGGGAGTCTCCAAAGGAATTCCTGCTGTGCCTGTAACCTGGATATTCCCTTCTTTGGCAGAGCATTGACTGCACTCAAGCAGTACCGTGGCGGCCCAGCCTCCAACCTGATCGACGTCCTCTTCTTTGCCTCTGCTCCCAGGGCRTTCCCTGAAACAAGTAAGAATCCTTTTTTATCAGGCTTGACAGGCATCCTCAGGAATTGCCCACAGGAAYCCAAACAGCTCTGATCTTTGTATGGTTTCTATCCACGTGTGCAGCCAACTTTGCTCCAGAAAAGACCCCAGTGTTGAATATGAGTCTGCAACTGGTAGCATTGTGTTCATACTGGTTTATACTGGGCACATTTTCCTCATGAAGGGCCATTGGTAAAAAACTTAGTTATAAGTAGTACCCCCTTTGTTGTGAGTCTTTGGAAAAAATGAAAGATGAAATTACATTGCCTTTTGGAGAAACCACAGGGAGAGCAAAGCCTCTGATCAGCAGCCGTGTCAGATATCAACAGCTGCCAATGGATATTATCCCTTGACAAAAGGGAGGATCATCTGGGCTGCAAAAATCAGGGAATGAGGGCTGAGGATGGGCTGGGCTGCCCAGCAGAATGGGCAGTGTCTAAGCTGTGTACAGAGCTCAGGTCTCTGCTTTCCCCCCTTGTGCCATCCATTTCTGCCAGGATTCTGCCCCTTTTCCTTCCCTGCACTGTTTTGTCTTCCCTTGATCCCTGGATTTGGCTGCCCACTGTGGTGGTTTGTCTCTCCCCCATTCCCTCCAGGCARGCTTGACTTCTGGTAGGATTTACCAGGGACAAAAATTTAACAAGTCCTATTCCTGGATCTGTGAGCACTGATCCTAGTCTGGGTCAAACTTTCCAGCTACCTGGGCACCTTGATGCACTCAAGGTTTTAATGATTAAATAAAATATAAGTTAAATAAAAGAATTTAATTTTAATGGGCCAACTTTCTTCGACCCTGAGGGAACAGAAGTGCCTCTACTGAAGGAAAAGTCCCTTTTGCCACATCACTCAGCTGTGCCATGCTGAGCAGAGATGGATTTCCCATCTCCTCAGCAATACTGATGGATAGACTGGGCCATGTTAGACAGGCAGAGGAGGTGCAGTAGGAACCTAAAAGCCTTCCATTTACCTCCTCACTTCAGAGCTGCCTTCTCCCCAGCTAGAGATGTTGTGCTGGCCAGGAATTAAGTGATAATAGCTTGGAATAAGCCAAAGGGCTCTGACAGACAAACCTCCCAGCACTCAGGCAGCTTTTCCATGTCACAGCGCCTCCTTCCACAACCAAGCACCCATTAGCCTGCTTTCCTTGGGGATCTGCCTCACCCCATCCATTATCTGGTTTCCAACAAACCCATCAGCAGGCTGAGTCAATAAGTCCTGGACAGCTCATGAAATTGGCTGTCTAGACACACATCTGTGTCAACACCAGGATGTGAGACGAGCTCGCTTCCATCAGAAAGCAGGGAGCTACAGCTAGGAGAGAGGACAAAATCCACTCTAGCAGGTGAAATGTGCAGCAGCAGCAGCCTAAATCTGATTTTTAATTTTTTTTTTTTTTAATGTGGGGGGAAATGATGAGAATCCTAATTGTTCAATCAGAGAATCTCATAGGTGGGTTCTGGTACTGCTGTGCATTTTAGTAATTAATTACCAGACCCCAGCAGCCCAACCCAGCACRTCAAAGCCCAAATCCTTTCAAAACRCTTAAAAATGCAGSAAYAAATACCCTTGGCATAACACAAAAACAGGCTGTGGGAAGGAAACCTATGGGATATTTAAAAGGATGGGAAGGGGTCACCAGTGGGCAGCTGGGATGTGCAGCAAAGACTGGGACTGGCACAAAGCACTTCCACACCTCCCCTTGCTGTCTCCAGAAAGGTTCCAAGTGGGAGGATAATTTTTCCAAAAAAGGCRAACTCTGGACTGAGCAGGAATTTTGCCCTTATCAGACTCCCTTGATGCAGAATCTCCTGCTTGTCTCCTTTCCACTTGGACCCCCACCCGTGGCCCTGTTGGAACTTCCACACCCCAAATCCCCCCCAAACAATCCTCCCCTGCTCCCAGCATCCCTGTGGTRGCCCTGCACTCCCACATTTTGGGAATAGGGACAGTGAAGAGGCTTTGCTTGCCAGCAGAGGCCAGCATTGCTCTGCTTGCTGTGCTCCTCCCAGCCATCCAAAAGGGTTTTCCCTTTTCCCTTTGGAAATCAGGCTGTGCCTTACCTGTGCAGGTCACTGATAGCTGCCAGCTCTCCTCTGTGCTTCTGGGCTGCAGAAAGCAAAAAATTTCTGTTCCCAGCACTGCCTCCAGAAGGCCTGGCTTGTGTCCAGCTCTGCCTATGGCTGTAAAAAACATGTGAAAAGGAAAAGAAGCAATTAAAAWTCCTGGTTAAAAGGCAGGAATGTTCCCAGGAGAAGCCAACCTGGCACCAGAGCACTGGGGAAACACCAGGGATTTCCAGCAAAACTTCCATGGCACAAGTCACGAGCAA